CCATCAAAAGCTAGTAAATAAAAAGGAGAAAGATGTGAGGTTGGAAGACATACACACACGCATGCACACTTATTACAACATTACGCCCTCTCGAAGGAGGGTCCGAATCAAAATCCGAATGTCCAAATAAACTAACTATTATAAAACCAAATGAAATAACTAACTAACTACTCTAAGCTAATTAAATATTTCAACACAATTAAATAATTAACTAAGCAACTAAGCTAATTAATTTAATTTACAACGCAAAACTAATTAGCTAAGTACATTAACTAATTAATTTACAAAGCAATTAAGCTAATTAATTACAACATGAATTAGTTAACGAATCTACTTAAATAATTACAACATTTGCATGAATTAGCTACAACTAATTAACTAAGCAAATTAACTAAATGGCCTCGGGAAACGAGGGAAGCATGCATGTTCGGTTGTTCCACCCGAAGAAGAGCACCCACCGTTTGCCACTGCTTGCCGTTGTTGCATAACTCTGCTATGTTTTTCCTTCTCCAGATCAACATTGCTGTGCTTCTAAAGCACAATGCTGACTTTCACTGGTGGCCGGCTGGCCACTAGAGAGGGTTCGCCGGCCAAATTGAGGGGTTTGCCGGCCACTGATGAGGGGCTACCGGCCACTGCTGGTGAGTTCCTCCCTACTGCAATAGAGGACAAAACAAAGCAAGAAAGGGGTGGTCTCACAAGTTGTGTGTGCCATGTGCTACTTACTTATCACTAAAACATCTCCAAGAAGTGGTACACTTAGCTCCAAAACCACCAATCAAGCAATTTCCATGCATGATGGCCAAAGAACCAAAATTTACAATTTTAATGGGTGTAAAAACAAGACCCAAAAGCCATCACCCTATCATGCATGATCAAGGGCAATAGAGACCTAGGAAAATGGCACATTTTATCACTTGTGAGTATGAAATGTCTTATTTTCCTTGTGTTCAAATTAACGTCCGATTTGAACACATGCAAAGAACAACCAAAATGCTTATCTTGCACACTTTTATTTTCAGCTTTTGTTTACATATTTTAATTACCAAATCATTCCTTAATCGATTAGTCCATTGGTGAGTGTCCTCTAAGGTGAGAGAAGTATCAACCAAGGGGCAATGTAAGGCAAGAGTGAGATCGTGCTGTTGATAATGAACCCTCAAAGAGGATTAAACCATTAAGCATGACCTCAATCTCAAGCTTAAATGATCCCAAGTTTGAGACAACCCTCAAAAGCAAATGAAAGAGTAAAGCATAGAGGGAGGTTACAGAGATTTAGGTGCTGAAATGGAATGCAAAACAACACTAAAGCATGTCATCAACTCAAACAAGAGGTGCTAAGACCCTAAAACACCAAACTTGTGAGGACTATTACACTACAACTATGTAAAACAAGACTCAACTGACCCAAATAATCCAAAATAGAGTTAAAGCAGTCTAAAATAAAGGCTAAAACATGCTGGATCTAAGCTTCAAAAGGTTAGAAAATGAAGCTAACATATAGAGCTACATAGGCATGCAAGCAAGACACAAGGAGGGGAGGCTAACCTCTCCAAGTTTGAACCTCAAAATATGATTTTAGCCACTGAAAATACTCTGAAATTCAGTGTTTAAAAGCCCAAAAAAAGTTGATTTGAAAGTGGGAAACAAAGGTGGAGAGGCCTTACAAGTAAGGAATAAAGAAGGGTGAACGACCCCCTAACCTTTAATGGCCTCAAACTACCAATTTCAGCCCACAAAAACAGAGTTTTTACAGTCCAAAAATAACCCAAAAACAGTGGGAAAAAGATGGAAAAACAAGTGTGCAAAGCAAGTTTAAAAGGCAAGTCTTATACTTCTTGAAGAGAAATACACTCTTTTGTTCACAAATCATCAATTGCACACTCTCAAGCGCTTTAAAAGCTCAAATTCAAACTCAAATCACCTCAGCAAGAAGCTCTCTAGGTTAGGTTTAGAGGGTTTAGGCAAAGGATATGCAAGTTGCAAAAGAGAGAGAGAATTGTAGAGAGAGAAATTGTAGAGAGAGAATTTTAGAGAGAATTCTAGCTCTCAAACTTTTCTAACCTTAAAACCAAGAGGAGAGGTCCTTTATATATAGAAAACAAGAGGCTTGGTTGAAATATCTAATAAAAGACAGGTGGAGCTTTGGTGGAAACAGCTGGCACAAAAGATCTGCAAAAGTCTGATTTTTTGAAACTGGTGGCCGACGGGCCACTAATATGGCCAGCCGTCCACTATTTGTGGCCAGCGCAAGCACTAGTGGCCGGCAAGTCCTAGGGGGGTCAAAAGGGTCAAAAAGGCCAAAATTTACCCGTGGCCGACGGGCCAGAAGTGGTGGCCGGCCGGCCACAGATGGGGGTTTCTGTCCACTAGTGTGGGTTTGCCATCCACAAAAATCTGCTCTCCAGGCCCAACTTCAAACGAGCATATCTCCTTCACCTGGACTCGGTTCTAGGTCATTCTTAAGTCTAAATTGAAGCTCCAGAAGTCTACTTTCCAATGGAAATGGCCTCACATCTAAATTCTAAGTGTGCAAAGAGATATGCCTATTTTGGTGAAAGCTGCTCAGTTTTATCCTAACGGATTGATACCTAACTTCTCCCCTGACGGGTTTTCTTCCCTCACCTATTTTCTTCAACTCCAAACCCATAAATAAGATGTTTTGAAAGTTTTTTGAAAGAGTTCACCTCTTTTCCATTTATCTCCATTTTCTCCTTGCTCGATTTACCGAAAAGTGTAATTTTTAACGAAATGCAAGCCTCGGAACATCGTAGAAGCATTTTCAAAAATATTTTGAAAGAGAGGGTTTTAAGGTCTAAAATAGTTTTGGTCCAAAAAAAGGGTGTTAGGTTGGGATTAGAGCTTCCCCTTGAAGAAATTGATCGATTGAACAACATCACTTCAGTGGCGCCCAAGTCTTAAGGGCGGTCAAAAATGGGGTGTCTACAGTGTTAAAGAAACTAAGGCTCCAATATGGCTAGCTAGCTATAAGTCAGTTGAGAAAAAAGTGTCTATTTTCATACCGAGGTCCCGTAAACAAGCTGCTATTTACGACTGTTAATTAGAACCTCTCTAGTTTGTCTTGTCTTGGACCCTAACCTCTCTGCAACAACAGATAGGACGAATGTGCTCCTTATTAGAAGAAGAGAGGGGGGAAAAACAAATCATAATAAATCAACAAAAATAAACATTCAGATATTGTAGAAATTTAAGAAAACTAACTAGTTGAAAGAACAAAGTCAAAACTCTCTCTCTCCTATCTCTCTCATTTCTTTTTTTGAATGCTTTTGCTTATGTTTTCTTGTCACTAGAGTTTTCTATCTAATTTCAAACCCAACATTAACTAATTTCTACTATAAAAGTCTTGTCTACCTTTATTGAGGAAATGTACAACTTTTACTATCAATTTTTCTATCGTATACTATTATCATATTTCAAACCATTTTTGTCCCACATTGTTTACACAATTCGTTCAAGGTAAAGAGATCTCTATTTATGTGTAGTAGGCTCCAAGTCTTCCACGAGTTTCACTTGTCTAACGAGCCATAACGAGCCGAGCTCGAGTTCGACAAATTTTATGCGAGCCGAGCTCTAGCTGACATATTTAGGCTCGCTTCAAGCTCGAGCTGAGCTCGAACATCTTCAAAATAAATCGAGCCGAGCTCGAACATTGATAAACTCGACTCGGCTTGGCTCGATTACACCCCTATTCTCCCACTCCTGCTCGAGCCCATCCCGAATAATCCTCGAATCCCCATATATATCAACAATGATAGAGACCCTCTTTTTCGAAAACCCCCACAACCCCCAAAGTGATCCACACCACTCATGGTGTGGGCCTCACACATCATGAGTGGTGTGGATCACTTTGAGGCTTGTGGGGGTCCTCTAAAAAAAGGGTCTCACTCATTTTCCTGTATATATATATATGTTGTTTTTCCTATTCACTCACTTCTCTTTTCTTCTCTCTCTCTCTCTCTCTCATCCACCTAGCCAAATCTCTTTCACTAAGATCTCTTCTCTCCTCAACATCATTTGCCGCCATCTCCATCATCGCCGCCATCTCCATCATCACCGCCGACCTCCGGTATGCATTCCTCCACTAAGCAAATTAGACGGTGGCGATGGAGGTGACGAGATCCATGCGATGACGCCCTCTCTCTCTTCCATTTCCAATATGGCTCTCTCTCTTCTCTCTCATCTTTGTCTTCTCCGATCTGGTCTGTTCATGGGCACGAAAGTGCTTGTTCGATTGCCCTTTGGAATTGATGGGCCAAAGGAAGTTGCAATGAAGCTTACTGTTGGTCATAAATGTGAAATTATTTTGATTATTATTGTTGTTATTGTTAGATTATTATTGTTGTTGTTATTGTGGTAGATTTAGATCCATGGAGATCTCACTCTCCCCTCTGTTCTCGCTGTTTTCTTTTCTTTTCTTTTCTTTTCTTTTTTTGCCCAGGGAATTTTTGGGGTCGGGGAAACCCGATCCCCGTTAGGGGATGGAGGCGGGGACGGTGATAGGTTCCCCGTCGGGGATCGGGGCTGGGGACGGGGAAATTTTCACCATCGGGGATTGGGGACGAGAAGTGTGATCATCGAGCCCCGCCCCGGCCCATTGCCATCCCTACTTGCATCACATATGCCTAAATCAATTAAAGGTAAGTGTTTTCATGTCTTGAATTAATCTCTTCCCTATCTAGTAGTAAAATAAAAACTGTCATAAAGAGAAAAAAGAATAACATTATATACAATTGAAATTATTATTATTATTATTATTATTATTATTATTATTATTATTTTCCTTAGAAACAACAATAATGGCACCCACATTAATAGGGGGTTGAAATTATAACCTTTTCACTGCCCATTTATTTATAATGCTATACATAATAAATATAGATGAAATCCTTGCATTTGTGTCTAAGAAAATCTGGTAAAAAATCCGTGTATATATATATATATTTTTTTTTTTGAGAAAAAAAAATAGGTACATGAATTAAAAAACCAGCAGGAACAGAGGGGAGAGTGAGATCTCCATGGATCTAGATCTACCACAATAACAACAACAACAATAATAATCAAAATAATTTCACATTTATGACCAACAACAAGCTTTATTGCAACTTCCTTTGGTCCATCAATAGCATCAATGATAGATTCATCCTCAGATCTAACTACAAGCCTCATTGCAACTTCCTTTGGCCCCTCAATTCCAAGGGACAACTGAACAAGCACTTTCGTGCCCATGAACACGCCAGTTCGGAGAAGACAAAGATGAGAGAGAAGAGAGAGAGCCATATCAGAAATGGAAGAGAGAGAGGATGTCATCGCATGGATCTCGTCCCCTTCACCGCCACCGTCCGATTTGCTTAGTGGAGGAATGCGTACCGGAGGTTGGCGATGATGATGGAGATGGCGGCAAGTGATGTTGAGAGAGGAAACGATCTTAGTGAAAGAGGTTTGGCTCAGTGGATGAGAGAGAGAGAGAGAGAGAGAGAGAGAGAGAAGAGAAGTGAATGAGTGAATAGGAAAAACAACATATATATATATATGGGGATTATTTGGGGCGGGGTGAGGGAACCTATCCTCGTTCCCGGCCCGAAAGTCTTCGGGGATCTATTTTTCAATACCAGCCCCGACCCTATGAGGATAATTTTTGGGAAAAATCCGACTTAACAGGATGGGGGCGGTCTGGGTCCCCGTCGAGCCGGGTTCAAATTTCCATCCCTAGATGTAAGATGACATTCTAACATGGACGCTAATAGTCAAGGAAGCCGTGTACTACTCAGCTCAGCTCCAACTTCCCAACTCAATGCCCAAAGTTGAGAAAAAAGAGAGAGTTGAGAACACAATAAGAGAGATGGGGTTTCAAGACTCCATGAACACAAGAATAGGAGGTTGGGGCAACAAAGGCTAGAAGAGGAAAGTGAGCATTTGCATAGAGATTTTAACACGCCCGAAACTTCTCTTTCTTGACGAGCCGACAAGTGGGCTTGATATCACCGCGTCATGCTATGTCATGAGCAGAATTGTGAAACTTGCCAAGCAAGATAGGATGACAGTGATAGCTTTCATCCATCAACCTAGCAGTGAAGTGTTTGGTCTCTTTCACAACCTTTGCCTCCTCTCTTTGGGCCAAACAATATACTTTGGTTCCCCTTGTGCAGCAAATCAGGTATACTTTTACAATATCTTCTCCTCTGAGTTTCAATTTCGTCAATATTGCCATTGAAGTTTGTAGCTTGAGTCAAATTGCTAATCTAATTTGAAATTACCGTCTAAATTATTAACTGAAAGAAAATGCTAAACATATAGAATTTTTATACGAAATTCTATGACAATGGAATTTTTGCTTCATTCTATACTACATTTTTGTATCTATATGTATAGCATTGCTTTTAATAAAATGACAAAAAATATATATACTTATGGTCTATAAAATATATGTTTTGTATTATTTTGCTCTCTAGAATTTCAATTTTGTCAATTTCATTCCTAAACATTGATGAAGAAGACAAATCATCTTATATTGTTTAGAGACGAAATTGACAAAATAATTTTTTGCGGAACAAAGTGACGTAAAACACATAAATTAGGGACCACGGCTTTATTTTATTTTGTTTTGTTTTTTTTTTCAATTAATTTAGATGGTTGTTTAAAATTAACCTATTATTATGAAAAAAGAAATGCCTATTGACTCCTACTGCTTTTGATCTAAAATTAGGTTTTTGCAATGAATGGTTTTCCATGCCCAATGCTCCAAAATCCAGCTGATCACTATTTGAGAAAAATCAACACAGACTTTGATGAGGCAAGTATTGAACTGTTTAGATGTTATTTTGAAGATTATGTTTCTTTAAATTGTAATTAAAGTGGAACTACTATTCATTTTTAGGATATTGAACAAGGTGATGATGCTGGAAAGATGACAACTGAGGAAGTAATTGATGTTCTCGCTGAATCTTACAAATCATCTGATATTTGCAAGCAGATTTATAGACAAGTAGCTGAGATATGTAGACGAGTAAGCAATTAAATGAATTTAATTAACATGCTGAACAATAGTAACCAAAACAATTAATTTATAAAGTCTAAATCATCTAAAAGTTTAATATATTAGAGACCTCAACACTGTCTTCAATACCCCCTCACATGTGGCCAAACTTTCTTTCAAAAGTGTGCCCGCAACTATTATAATTATCAGATAGGCGGTGAGGTTTGAATGCAAAATTTATTGTTTGTTCTGATACCATAATGAAATTATTAACCACTAATGCATATAAGTGCTTAGCTGTTAGATAAATTAACAATTCTATTATTTATGTTTTCAACTAGAAAAGTTTAGCTTGTGTCTCAACACAAAAGTGGTTTGACTTTTTACACTGGATATGGTCTTGTAAAACATTAAAGCTAAGAACTTAAAAAATTTGCTCAGAAAAATATCCGGGAAAAAAATTGTGTCATTTCAAGTGTGTGTCTCATAATACGAGTGTTGAATCTATACCACACATCACATTTCTTCTCAGTAAATTTTCTAGCTATCTGCTTTTTTGCTCTAAAATTGTAGGATGGAGGAGTAATAGAGAAGAAGGGAAGCCAAGCTAACTTCTTTACCCAGTGCCTTGTTCTCACAGAGAGGTCTTTAATTAACATGTACCGAGACCCAGGCTATTACTGGTGGCGCCTTGCTATATACATGGCATTGGGTTCAGGTTTAGGCAATGTGTTCTATGATGTTGGCCCTAGTTGTGGTTCAATTCATGTAAGTCTTGTGTCACAAACATTTAACCAAAAGAAGCGGTTTTTCTCTAGAAAAAAGCTCAAGTGTACGGGAGATTTTTACAAAATGGGATATACATGTGAAACCAAAGGTGGGGCCCACATGTATCCTACTTTATGTGGGTCCTGCACATTTGCCTCACATCTGTGTTTTGTCGTGGGAAATTTTGTGTGTTGTAGCATAGCAGTTATTTTTAGTCCATTAGTCCAATTTCTCAGACTAGAATGTCCAGTTGAGGGGATTGTGGGTCCATTCTGATTTCATCTCAATGATCAAATTGTTCATCTTGTAAGATTTGCTTAGTAGATCATCTATGCAAAACATCAAATTAATTGGACATTAATAGCCAATGATCGGATTACATTTGTCTTTAAAAAAAGTATGAACGACATATATGATTTTGAAGACAAATGTGTTGAACATAGACCATCCACATTTGTCTTCAAAATCATACTCGTCGTCCATTTTTTTAAAGACAAATTGATTTGATCTGATCATTGGTTAGTTACTGATGTTGGATCTATTTTATTTTTACTTGAATGACTAGTTTGGCGAGTCCTATACGATAAACGATTAGCTTATTGAGACAAGCTTGAAATAGGCTCACAATATCCCAACTAGACCCTCCAGTCGAATTAACGGACCAGAAAGAGGCTTGTTCTTCAACAAAAAGCATTCTTTAAACTTTTCAAATTGATGGTAACACCAAAATGTTGTTATGTATGGGTTTGTGCATATTAGGCAAGAGGTTCAATGGTCATGTTCGTAGCTTCATTCGTGACCATCATGGCCATTGGGGGTTCCCTTCATTTGTAGAGGAAATGAAGGTAATAAGTTGATATGATTTCTTTAGTTTATATATATAAAAATGCTTATTGTTAACAAGAAAGAGTCCTATATCACCGAAACTGATCACAAAACTGATCACTCACAATCTACAAGTCTCAAAACATGTGAGCCCCATAAGATTGTGAGTAGTTGATAATCAATTATGTTATGGGGGACTTATGTATAGGTCCTACTAAGTGGATTTATTGTCCAATAGGTCCTATAATAATTACTGACATTTTTCATCATACATTATTAAAAAATGTCACTAATTTTTAATTTTCAGCGACAGTTTAAAATGGGGTCGGCTATATGAATCCTTCTTCTCCACGCGGCCCTATCAAGGGCCATTTCGTTAGTCAAATTAAGTAGATCTATGTCTCTATTTACAACGCTAGCTAACGTTAATCTAGGCCTATCCCGTCCCCTACCACTTCCATCTACCGTTACAGTATCGCATCTCTTCACTACTGCCTCTATTGGTCTTCGTTGAATATGACCAAACCATCGCAATCTATTCTCTTTCAACTTATCTTTTATCGGTGTTACTCCTACCCATTCCCGAATACACTCATTTCTAATTTTGTCTTGTCTTGTCTTGTCTTGCCACACATCCACCTTACCATCCTCACCACAGCCATACTCATCTTATCTACATGTTGTTTCTTGGTTGCCTAACACTCCGTCTCATACAACATCGCCGGTCTAATAGTCGTTCTATAGAATTTTTTTTTTAGTCTAGTGGGTATTCGTTTATCGCACAGGATCCCAGATGCACTTCTCCACTTACACCATCCCACCTAAATCCTATGGGCCACATCCGCATCAATCTCCCCCGTTGTTGTGATAATCGACTATAAATAACGAAAATATTCATTCTTGAGCAGTTCTTGGTTCTCAATCTTTACTGCTCCTCTGCTTTCAGTGTTATTGTTACTAAATTTACACTCCATGTACTCTGCCTTAGTTCTACTTATTCGGAATCCTTTAGATTCAAGAGTTTTTCTCCAAATCTCTAACTTTGCGTTTACTCATTCTCTAGTCTCATTCACTAACACGATATCGTCTGCAAAAAGTATACACCATGGCACGTCATCCTAAATATTTCTCGTCAACTCATCCATAACTAAAACAAAAAGATAAAGACTTAAGGTAGATCCTTGGTGTAACCCTACAGTGATGGAAAATTCATTTGTCTCTCCAGCAGGCGATCTAATAGTGATCACCACTCCATACATGTCTCTAATCACATCAATGTAACCTTTTGTCACCCCTTTCTTCTCTAACACCCATTATATCCCGAGGCACTCTATCATATGTTTTCTCAAGGTCGATAAACACCATATGAATGTCACTTTTCTTTTCTCTATACTTTTCTATTACTCTCCTCAAAGGATAGATAGCTTCTATTGTTGACCTGCCAGACATAAACCTAAATTGATTCTCTAACACCTCTGTTATATCTCGCAATCGGCGTTCCATCACCTTCTCCCACACTTTAGAGTTGTCGGAATTTGAACTTTAACATCCGCTTGAGGGTTAGAAACACCGGGAAAATGAGCAGAGGCCAGACAGTTTTCTTGTTTTTTAGTCCCTCTAAAGTGCACAATTCACCTCAAAAGCACTTAATGGGTTTTGAGAAGGTTTTTTTGTCACCACAAACAGAAGGATTGGTAAGGTTCAATTTAGATGTTTGCAAGGATTTGAGTGTGGTTGATGAACATGGAAGTAGAAAAATTGCTTTGGGACATGGGCCTCGTTTGGGAAGTGGCTATTTTAATAGGCTATTTGACTTTTTGGCTATTTTAGTAGGCTATTTTAGTTTTTGTGTTTGGGAAGATGAGATAGATTTTATTTAAGTTGTTGTATTGAAAAATGTGTTGAAATGATGTTTGAATTTAAAATGACAAATTTATCCCTAAAATTATAATTTTTAAAATTGATATAAAGGAGCAAAATGGTAATTTAGCTGTTGATGTAACATATTGGGGTTGTGACAGTGTAGGCACAGCCTACACTGTCCGGGCAGCAGCCTGTTTTTTTTTTTTTTTTTTTTGAAAAATTATGAACAGTGTTATTTTTGGGCTTTTTTCTCAAATGAGGCTAAAATAGCCTCATTTCGTGCTTCCCAAACAGCGCCCATGTACTTCATGTGGGCACCTTGAATTATTCCTTGAATGTGATAATTTGAATTTGCCATTTTTTCACTCTCTTTCTCTCTCTCTTTTTTTTTGTTTTTGTTTTTTGCTTTTTCAAAGAACGAAAAAGGCTAGGTAGGATGGAAATCAAGCTATTAATAAATAGAAATGTAGCAAATTCTCGCCAATTGTTCAAAATCAAAATCTTTGAAATCCAAAGGGAATTCATGGTTTCACAATTCGTTCCCTTTTATTCCTTACTCATGCCATGTTCTTTATTTGTTCTTCTGGCATGTTCTTTCTTGTCAATGATCTATTCAGAAGGCATTTCAATGAGTTTTTCTTTGGCCTTTTTTTTTTTTTTTTCCCCTTGTCATTCACAAATTCAAGATCTAAATAGAAATTGAAAAGAAAAAAATTAACATTTTTCCCAGGTCCTGAAAAATTAAAAAAAAAAATCCAAATTACCAGACTCCAATGGTCCAAATGCTCTAGCCTAGGGCCTCAATTTCATATTTGGTATGGAGCTTTGAAAATCTTAAACAGTTATTGGTGTGAATTACTTGATGTGATATACAAAATCAGTCCCATCTTAATCCGATCGAATACATCTTATTAGTACGTAATATTAAATTATTGTCCTGCACAAATATATATAGGATGATCATATGTTATATATATTTTTTTGGGGTACAAAATTTTGGCTAGCATTTGCAATTCAACTTCAAGGATCACATTCACAATACCCAACTGATGAATACAATTTCAAACTTGAATTAGGGCCCTATCTCTCAACAAAGCTTCAACTGCTTTCCTCCCAGAAACCAGAGCCCCATCAAATGTAGCACTAGTCTGATGATCACCACACAAGTACAAACCCGGCATAACTATCGGGTTTTTCATTAAATCCGTGGGCGGGCTTTGATTCGGTTGTGCAAACCCGATCCGATAAGTTCTCAAGTGCCTCCATGACCCAACCACCGACTCTCCAAACCAACCCGAAAGCTCTCGAACAACCTCAGCCGTCAGATCCTTGTCCTCCCTGTCCTCAAACAACCCGATAAGTGACACGGAAACCAATGCCTTCCCGTGTGGGCCATACGACGGAGCCACATTCGTTGCGAAGAACATATTATTGACAATTCCTCTTCCCGAGCCGTTGAGAAACAGAACCGGGTCTTGAACCGGGATTTGATTCGGGTCAGCCGAGAAGTACAAACAAACCGCGCTTCGAACCGGTTTCTTCTGAACCGGTTCACGGTTCAATTTTCCCGCCAAAAGCTTAACAGCTTCTGGTTGTTCAACAGCCACTATGACTCCAAGCTCACTCCTCAACACCTCTCCACTCTGCAACGTCAAGATCGCCGAATCGGATTCGAAATCGATCGAAACGACTCTCGATTTCAACAGTATCGATTTGGAGGGCAATTTCGAGGCCAATTGTTCCGGAATTGCAGAAATTCCCTTCGCCGGAAGTGTATTCTCGCCGAGAGAGAGACACTTGAAGATGAAATCGAATAGTCTCGATGTCGTTTCGAGATCTCGGTCGAAGAAAATTCCACCGAAGAACGGCCTGAAAAACCGATCGACGATCGAGTCGGAGAAGCCGATTCTCCTCAGCAAATCAAGGGTGGAGACCTCGTCAGAAGAGAGAATTTCACCGTCGGATCTGATCAAAACACGAATTCTGGTCAACGCGACGAGGAATTTGTCGACGATTGTGCCGATGGGATTGGTTAGGGTTTGAAGGGAGTCGGTGAAGTGGCGTATGGGATCGGCTACGGTGTGGAAGCGTCCATCGTAGTAGACCTGAGCTCCTGAGTAGAATCTATGGAGATCTAGGGTTTCGTAATCGAGAAGTCTTCGGGCTTCGGGGTAAGCCGTAATGAAGATCTGGAAGCCGCGGTCTAAGAGGAAGCCGTCGACGAAGTCGGTTCGGACTCTGCCGCCGACGGCGTCGGAGGCGTCGAGGAGGAGGAACGGGATGTTCTCGGAGCTAAGCCGAGTCGCGGCTGCTAAACCGGCTAGACCAGCGCCGACGATGATGACTCCGGTTTTCTTTAGCTGTAACGACGGTGGCGAGTCGACCGAGATTTGTGAAGATGCTCTCGGTGGTTTGAATATGCGGTGGCGGTGGTAGGAGGAGAGAGAGAGGAGAGAAGGGTTTGAGAAGGGAAGAGAGAGAGCGAGAGTCATCTGGTAGATCATGAGCTTGTGAGAGCGTCATGGTGTTTTCAATTTCAACCATTGGTTTGGTTTTGTTTGGGGGTGTGGTTTTGATGATGCACGTGCATGGCTTATCCATTTCGGGTTCAAAATCTCGAGTTTTGATTTTCTTCACATTTAAAAATTGAGCAATATTACATCCTCAATTTTTTTCCCTCTAAACCCTCCCAATATGGTATAAATATGAAGCATTTTTAAAAAAATTATAAAATTACTTAAAATACGGGCACATGACATTAAGGGTTGTTTGAATATGATTTATTTTTTAGTTTATTTATTACAAAAAAATATATAAAAAAATAAAAAAATAATGCGATAACTTATAATAAATAAATCAATAAACAACTTATTTAGGGTAATACTCAAATTATTCCTAACTTTAAATAAAAATCATAAATTTAAATATTTTTTTCGATTGTTAAAATTATATTTATTGCTCAAATTTATAATATAAATATAATTTGAATTATTAATATTTAATTAACTTGAATTTTTAAATAAATTATTTTCCCAATAAACTTTATAAAATCAACTCACCAAACCAAACAATTCCTTTCTAATTATATATTAATAAAAGTGAAGTAATCTCCATCCATGTTGGTCAGAGATGTTGTATTGTTGGATGGGACCATCTTCTTAAGGATGTGGTTTTGATAGATGTATTGGTTAGTGGTGGGAGATTCAACAGCTTGAGTGCTGAGAGGGAGTTTTTATGAGCATTAGGACTGAGTTAGGTCTAGGTGTAGTAATAGGCTGTTCTATGGGCCATGGTGGAAAGGGCTTAGCGAGTGGACCTTAGTGTTAGCTCGGTCCAAATATGGTTACAGTCACCACGGTCGGAGTGATGATAATTAGTTCGGTCATAGTATTCGGAGCCAAGGTATTTGGGTTTCTTATGGTGGACCTTGCTCTTGTTAGCTCGGTCAAAGCTTGCTGTAGTTAGCTCGGTCTCAACAGACAAAATCGAGGTACAAGTGAACAAAGAGCCGAGCTATGTGTTGCATATGAAGGCGCTGGATTAAGTATGACAAAGGGCTAGTGTTAGCTCGATCATACTGTCATCCAACTGAGGTAAAACCATCTCACTTGGTTTAAGCAGTAAGGGGGGTGTTGAAGGATAAACATTATCTTTCAGGAGTGTGATTCCTAGGAGGACTCTACATGGAGGAATAAGAGTCCTGCTAGGATTGTGCCAGGCAGAAACTATAAAAGCTCACAACATAACCTATGTAGAGGTAACACAACTTTGATTTTCAGAATACACAGAACTTTTGTCTATTTGTCTATTTTTCTGACTTAAGCATCAGAGAGGTATCCGGCACACGCCCGTTGGCTAATTCACGTTTGTGTTTTCAAGGAATAAAGCGACGACGTTTGGAGGAGCGCAGACTTGATCAACAGGATTATATGAGGACATTATTTTGTGCTCGTACAATTGGCGCCGTTTGTGGGAATTCCACAAAGAACAAAACCTCTTGATCAAGCTTTTCTCTCTAGTTGGAAGCAATGACGCACAATGAAGACTTGCCACAATCAGCTATTGATGGGCAAACTCCGGAGGGGGATGAGGTGTGATTCCTAGGAGGACTCTACATGGAGGAATAAGAGTCCTACTAGGATTGTGCCAGGCAGAAACTATAAAAGCTCACAACATAACCTATGTAGAGGTAACACAACTTTGATTTTCGGAATACACAGAACTTTTGTCTATTTGTCTATTTTTCTGACTTAAGCATCAGAGAGGTATCCGGCACACGCCCGTCAGCTAACTCACGTTTGTGTTTTCAAGGAATAAAGCGACGACGTTTGGAAGAGCGCAGACTTGATCAACAGGATTATATGAGGACATTATTTCGTGCTCGTACAATTGGCGCCGTCTGTGGGAATTCCACAAAGAACAAAACCTCTTGATCAAGCTTTTCTCTCTAGTTGGAAGCAATGACGCACAATGAAGACTTGCCACAATCAGCTATTGATGGGCAAACTCCGGAGGGGGATGAGAGGTGTGAAGGTTTGCCTTCTATCCCTCCCATAACGAATTTAGAACCCCAACGACAGAACCCCCGGAGGGATGCAAGGGGGAGACGGGGCGGCAGTCCCCGTCGCTCTTAAAGTCCTGAAAGGTAGAGGCGGAGGATGGACCCTCAAGTTCTAGAGGATCGTGTGAAAGACCAAGACGAGTTGATACGAAGGATGGCGGCGGACATGGAGTCAATGAAACGCCAGATAAAGGGAAAAGGAGTGGCGACAGGAAATGGGCACAAAGGCAACACACCCCCTCGACGCTCAGAAGATCGTGGCAGGCATACCACTCCATCGCAAGCAGAAAGTAGGAGCCTTAGAATAGGCGACACTCAATGGAGGACCTTCAGGACTCGTTACTCCAAGTCTGAGAGAACGAGAACTGAGAGGTCGTTTATTGAGGGAAGCACCTATCGGCCCTCGCACACCACCAGACGTCATCTAGGCACACAGAGTTGCCTAGATCATCTGACTTGCGAACTGTGCTTGAAGAAAGGGCCTGGTGGAAGGAGGACACCAGGGCTCGCGACCCGCGCAAAGTTTCAGCCCTTCAGCGGTTGTCCCATCGGACGCATGGGATCGTCGATGTGGGAATGCCAATGCCACGCCTTGCTTACGAACCTGTAGACAAAGTATTAGCAAGGTTACAGAGCTCGCCGTTCGTTCCGGCAATTGAGAACGTACCACTACCCTCAGGCTTCCACCAGCCCAAATTCACCACTTATGAGGGGAAGTCCGACCCCTATATGCACCTCACTCCATCGCAAGCAGAAAGTAGGAGCCTTAGAATAGGCGACACTCAATGGAGGACCTTCAGGACTCGTTACTCCAAGTCTGAGAGAACGAGAACTGAGAGGTCGTTTATTGAGGGAAGCACCTATCGGCCCTCGCACACCACCAGACGTCATCTAGGCACACAGAGTTGCCTAGATCATCTGACTTGCGAACTGTGCTTGAAGAAAGGGCCTGGTGGAAGGAGGACACCAGGGCTCGCGACCCGCGCAGAGTTTCAGCCCTTCAGCGGTTGTCCCATCGGACGCATGGGATCGTCGATGTGGGAATGCCAATGCCACGCCTTGCTTACGAACCTGTAGACAAAGTATTAGCAAGGTTACAGAGCTCGCCGTTCGTTTCGGCAATTGAGAACGTACCACTACCCTCAGGCTTCCACCAGCCCAAATTCACCACTTATGAGGGGAAGTCCGACCCCTACATGCACCTGAGCCACTTCCGCCAGGTTATGGCAGTATACCGGCGAAACGAGACTTTAATGTGCATCCTATTTCCATCTAGCCTTGGCGATCTAGGTTTAACCTGGTTCGAAAGGCTACCAGAAGGCAGCATTGCCTCATGGACGTAGCTGGCAGAAGCGTTCGTGACTAGATTTAGGACGAACACCAAGACACCAGTGGAGATCGACCAACTACTCTCCATTGACATGGGCGAAAAAGAGACGTTGAGGTCCTACAACAGTCATTACTGGGAAACCTTCAACCAGATTGGGGATTGCCTTATGAACCTCGCCATTGCGCAATACAAACGGGGCCTGCCATTCGGTAACAAATTGAGGGACTCAATTACTATGACACCACCCCTTACGATGGAGGCTTTAATGGAGAGAGTGCACCAACATATTCGCATGGAAGAAGATAGCGCCCGTGCTAAGGCAAAATCTGGCACAACAGCAATGCCAGATAAAAAGACTACAGCAAAAGTCAACACGGTAGAGCAACCTAACAGGAATGGGTGAGGCAGGCGGGCCAACAGAGAGGACCCAGGCAAAAGGAGGTTAAGAGTCCGCACTGCCATTACCACAGTGTTTAAAAAACCAATCTACCGAATTCTTAGTGAGATACGCAATGTACCTTTCGTCCGATGGCCAGCAAAGTTGGAGAAGCACAAAAGGACTATGACGAAAGGTCCCGGTGCACCTTCCATGATGAAAAGGGGCATCGCACTGAAAATTGCATGTCGTTGAGGCAACATTTGGAGGAGTTAGTGGCAACTGGGCACCTGGACCAGTACATAGAAGGAGGAACACAGCCAGCCCCCCAGAACCACAACAACCCAAATGGCATGCCGGTCGACGCTCCACCTCAAGGTGTGATTAACGTAATACATAGGATATGCGAACCTGAGCGGGTATGTGAACTCAGGGGGATGATCAAAAAGGCTGAGCACTTAAGGAAGGTATTAAGTGCATAACCTGCCATCAAAAAGGGGAGAACAGAGGCCATAAATGTCATATCTTTTTCAGACAAAGATTTAGCAAGAATATATTGCCCTCACAATGATACACTAGTTGTCACTCTACGCGTCAAGAATTTTGACATCAAACGGATTTTGATCGACCAAGGAAGCTCATGTGAGATAATGTATTACGAAACCTTCAAATAACTGAAACTGAAGGACAAAGACTTGGCACTTGTAACATCTCCCCTAATCGGATTCAACTCAATGCCAGAGTGACCAGTGGGCAAGATAATCCTCCCAGTCAAGGCAGGAACCATGACGAAACATGTGGAATTCTGGGTATTAAAAGTCCCTTTCACTTACAACATAAATCTTGGGGAAGACATGGTTGCACGCCATGCATTCGGTAGCGTCAACCTACCATCAAGTATTGCGGTTCCCCAACGAAGTCGGAGTAATTGAAGAGGTCTTTGGAGACTAAATTATGTCCAAACAGTGCTTCGTCACAGTAAATGGTAGTTGCGCTGCCAAAGGGTATGTACAGATGATGGAAGAGCCTGAGAGCAATGAACTATTTGCGGATGTTGGCAAGGCAGCTGAACAGAAGGCAGTGGAAGACTTGGTACAGGTAAGGATAGATGAAAAAGACCCAGAAAAGTTCTTTTTGCTCGGCTCGTCTTTGTCCAGCACTGAGAGAATAGAGGTCATGAAATTCTTAACTTTTAACATCGAAGTGTTTGCTTGGACACCATATGATATGCCTGGCATTGACCCAAACTTCATCTGTCACCAACTGAACGTCCACCCA